CTTCCAAAAGAGAATATGTCGGTGTTTGCAATGTTCTAAAAAAGAGAGGGACTAGGACTATCCTTGACTACTCCAATTCCACTTCTCCCAGAACCTGTTACTAAGAGTTTCTCTACTAGTGGCTTAGCTGAATGAAAATTTGGTTTTTCACCAGAACGCATGCTGCTGATCCCACTGACATGCAATTTAACTTATCTGGATTTCTGCATGGCTCATTGCAATTCTGGGCCCACATAAGGGAATGAAAACTCTGCATCAGGAATGAATTTCCATTGTAAAGTAACTTGTTCCCAAGCCAGAGGTTTATGGAACAATATCATCCAAAGGAAATTTCACAATATCCCAGTTGAAAGGCAACACTCAGTGACACTCAAGTATCAGCAGTCAGTATGTCCGAGAAAGCAGATGCTGCTGTCTGTTGCATTAGGAGAAAATGGGGAAACAGGTTCTTTTTTGGGTTCTTCTGTGCCAGAAAATTAAAGGTATGTTTACAGTTATTCATAATTCCCATAAATACTGGAACATCTTTACAGCCAAAAGAAATCAATCACACGTGATATTTCAGATTCTTGAAGGCCTTGGACTATGTGATATTAACTTAACTGAGGTCTAAATAACACTTAAGACTTGGCATTGCTTTTGTACCAATGAATTTCCAAAACAACTGATTGCTTTGTTAACGTTATTGCAAAAGAGTATTTACCATTTGCAGCTGGTAACTCCAAATATCCCAGCCCTACCTCCAGAGAGGAATTGATGGGGAGAACGGGGTTCTGCTCCTGTAACCAAATGTCTGTATATAAGCTTTTCCTAAGGAAGTTATGGAGACACCATCATGAACAACAGTCCCAGTATTATACCTGTTAAATTAAACTGAGGCAACCCTATGTGCTTGCTACATTTTTTAAATATTATATTTAAAATAGAGAAGTCCTTCCTCTCAGAATTCCAACAATCTTTCATATGTGTTCCTCCTCTCTCCTTTCTACTACCTGACAAGATACTGGGCACTTCTATATTCACCTTGGGTTACTGTTCTCTGTCTACAAATCAGCTGAATACAGCATAACATAATTTCTAAAATTAGAATAATGCCCTTAAATGATGTACAAATATCCCATATTTTCAAGTTTCTCTTGATGCGTTGGACAGTTAGTTGATTAAGCCATCTGCAAAACTTATGTCTTCAGGCCTTCAAATACATTTTTTAATTCTCATAGGGTTCAGTTGTTCTGAGACAAAACGACAAAGCTTTCTATTCTTCCCACACTTGTCCTGCTGTCTCCAGGCACTTCATGCTCTGAGAAGCACCTGTAATATAGTCATGTGCAGTCTGTATTCTCTCCATTTCTCTGTCCTAGTAGAGCAAATGAGACTATGTCTTTCTTTGGGAGTGGGGAGGGAGTCTGACATGCAGTATTACATTTTAAAAATTATTTATATGAAAACAAACATGATTGCATGAAATTCTTAGTGCTGTTATGTATACTCTATTGCAGATTTTCCAATGACTGTAATAGTTTGAGTAAAAATGAGATAACAATTACAATTACTATTAATTTTTTCTCATTTTTGGGGCTGTTAGTTTCCTGTGCGCAGTGAGGTCATTGGTGTTTACTCAGCTAGAAATCCTGCCCTTCCAGAACTCATCCTCATTTGATTTGTTTTGCATGTGCTAGAAGTTACATTAACAATGTCATGTTGCTCTCTTCAAAATTCTGGGAAGAAACAAATTTGTCTGGGATGAAAACCAAGGGCTATATGGCTTCATTGAGAAAAAATTGTAAGTTGTAAAATTAAACATAATTTTCTTCAAGCCTCAATATATTGTTATTGTTCTCTTATAGCACGTCAATTAGGCTTTTATGTCATAAAGTTGCAGTCTGTGTTGAATTTCTGCTCTGGAGGTTGCTTAAATACATTTCTGTAGATGTGGCTGGACAGTGTGGACAGAAGTAGCCCACATTTATTTTCATCTATCCATGTGGACATGGTCTGCATATAGAGGAGGAAATATATGTCCCTTGCATTTGCTTTAGTCATCGTGATGGGAAGGTCCTCTTTACTACCACTGAGGCTCTGGGAGCTGTTTTGTGCAATGTGTTTGTACAAGTAGCAACTGGCTCAGGCTTCTACTACCAACCTTTTGTTGGCACCTTCACAACTCAGTAAGTAATTTTGGATGGCCATTGATGTCAGAATTTTCTGTCATTATAGTCTCTGCCTGAGGTGGGTGACATGTATTGTTATACCTGTGTGAGAACTCATACTAAACCCCGTCTCTCTCCTGGGTGTATACCAATATCAGCTTCTCCCTAGGCAGTGAATGAAGACAGACATTTGCTCATAGTTCTTTATACAACTGTTTGAGGTAATGCTTGAGCTCCTTAGCAATGTAAACTGCTCTCTGCACATGCTAACATTGTTCCTTTTACTATCAGACCTGTACTCCTAACATAAACACCTTCAAAGTTTCTACTTCTAAATTTTGGTTGTTCTGAAAGATCTTTGTAGAACTTTTCTTTCTTACCTTTTTTTTTATTATTATTTTTTACAATAACAGTCTTTATGGTGTTTTGGTTTTTGGGGGGGTGTTGTTTGGGTTTTTTTTTGTATGTGTGTGTGGTTAGGTTTTTTTTTACTGCAGCTGTTCTTTGCATGCTCTTTATCAATATTTTTAGAAAAGTTGCTTTTTGATTATATAGAAATCAATCTTCCTCATTTGCACACGTGATTTTGCATCAGTGCAGCACAAGACAGTGTTTTGACATCACTGTCACTAGTCTGATACTGGCAATATCAAACCTAGAAAATTGTGGTCACAGTCAGTCCAAGCCAGCTGTGGAGGACATTGGTGCCATGAGCACCTTGTGCTCAGTCACTACAGATATGTATCCTAAGAGACCTCCAATGGATTGTTGGAACTCTAAAAAGGCATAGCTAACACAGGATTATCATATGAAATTGATGACTTGACCTAGGCACTGAGCTACTTGAAGCCAATATTAGCATCTATTTCCAGGGCAGCATCCCTTTTTCACATAGGTCCTAAAATTGACATAACTGAAGCCACAATTACATTGATGGTGTAAGAAATGATAAATTGACATGCCTGATTTTCAGTTTTCCAGTTTCTGTTAATATTTGGTGACCCATTTTGTCTCTGAATATCCTCATATCTTCATAGGCCTCCTATATCTTCTCTAATCTGTGTAATTTACTGATACTAACAAACCATGCAATCTGTGCTCATATTTCATTCATAGTCAAAAGTAGTACAAGAACTTTTGTTGATCCTCCCACAGAATGGCTCATTATTAGTAGCTGCTTCTTCTGGCTTATTGTCATTTACTTCCACTTTTAAATTTAGTTACCATTTTTTAGTTTATTTTTAATCAGTGACAGAATTACCTTTTATATATTACCCATGGGTCTCTGATTTTAATGTGATTTATATCTCTAAAGAAGACAACCACATTATCTGTAAAATTCTCATCTCTGCAGTTAAAATAATATTTTGTTTCCTATTTCCCTATTTCAAATTTTACTCCTTTTGACTCCCCTAGCACATATTGAATACTAAAAACCACTTATTAAACAGTAAATACTTTGAAATTAAAAATTTTATTTTTCTCTGGTGTTGGTTGGGTTTTTTGTTTCCTTCTTGACTTCCTTTCTTTACTCAAGCCCCAGTTTGAAATCTTTGCTCTACGATGTAGAATATTGTGCTTTCTATCCATCCTTATTTGCCTTCTAAGCCCAGTGTGAGATTTGTTGCTTCAATGTGGGATCGATTCTTTGATGTCAGAAAGAAAAAATAGTCAACCCATTCCTGCCTTTGGTTGTTACTCATGTATATGTGATTCCTGATATACATCATACTAAGATGTTTAAGAGGAAAAGCCTTCTGTATTTTTTTAATTGCAAAAGATACTGCATACATGTAGGCTTATATGATGAAAGAGCTGGTTCTGTTTGGGTTTTTTTCCCCCCCCTTGAATAAATATAACAATTTTGGGGGAGTGTCTTTGGCTTCCTGTGCTACATCCATTGCTGGCTTGTTCCTTTTTTCTTTCCACTAGTCCAGTCACCCAGACAGCTAGTGCTGCAATTTTCCTGTCAAACAATCACTGACCATCTTCTAGTTCAGCTGTTCCTCATAGCTGTATAGGCTTTTCAGACACAGTGTTGAAGTCTTTATTTTCTTCTGGAAACTCTAATTAGTACTCAGGATTGTGATGAATGGGCTATAGGAGATAGTGAGTGCCTGGGCTAAAGATTAATGCAACAGCACGTGGGTGCAATTTCAGTAAACAACTGAAGGATTGAGGATACCACATGCATAAAACCTGATCTACTGCTGAGAAGAAATGAATTGGGGGGGGGGGGAGGAAGCTAAAAGCATAATTATGAAATTGGAGAATGATGTGTCGCATTGATTGCTATAGTGTGCTAATGTTTGCTCCATTTGATATCCCAGATATTAAAAGCAGTAGTTAAATGTGTCCTTGCCTTGGCTAACAGAAAGCTACACAGAAGTTTTTTTCAAAAAAGGTTTACTGCATTTCTGGAGGTTATTTTTATTAGTCTATTATGCCTTTTTATGTATTATTCTGTTCCCTTTCAAGTGTGTTTTGAAAAAGTTACTTGTTTGCAAGCTGAGAAATGAAGGATTTTTAATAGCATTCAAATAAGACATTCCCCTCTGTGTTTTAAATTCTACTTTGGAAGAGGCACATAAAGTACTTTCAGAAACAAACAATTTTTTATGTAACTTAGTTTTGTAAAATTAAAGTTCACAATATTCTGAAAACATATTGTTCCTGAGAGAGAAACATTTCACCACTGCTCTTAGAGTAGTAATTCACAGTGACAAATGCAGCCAGTATATTTTGTTTGTTTAAAACTGTACATTTTGGGAGAGAAAAGCACAAAACAGATTTTAAGTGCCTTGAGGTGTCTGTTGTACAGGAGACTCAGCAACTAGAATACGTCTCTGAAGAATAATCAGAATCTTTTGTCTTTGATATTTCTTCTCCAGAGTGGACCTTATAAACAACGTACATCTACTTTTTGTTGACCTTTTAAAGTACTTAGAAAACAAAGACATAAGATTGCATATTCAGAACTGATTGGAATGTATGATTTTAGATGTAAAGATTTCAGATGCACATTCTTAGATACCCGAGTTACTAGAGGATCTGATTTCCAGAAAATAAATGACCTTAATATGATCTGTAACTAAGCATACCAAAATGAAGGTACCCAAGACATGAAAATGGAAGGGTAAAACTTCAAAACACAGCCCATGTCCTCAATTTCCAATTCCATCTTCCTCTCTGTGCTCCCACCTTACTTATCATCTGGTGAAATTCCTTAGGTGATGTCATGCTCAGGGAACAAGTCTCACTTAGAAAAGGATTTTCTTTATTTTTCATAATTTAGCTGAACCAACACAAAACTGAATACTGTAAAGCAACAAAAAATGATGTAACATCTTTCATTTTTCCGTGTTTACTAAATAAGGCTACTATGCTCTCTTTAAAATAAATCAAAACAGAGAGTTGGTAGAGTGAAGGATCTGGCTCTTGAGGTCTACATGTACAGTAAATGTATTTACCATCATTTATTGCATGACATTTTAAACCTGACATCGGTCATTTATAGTGCAGTCAGTCCATTACACTTTACAAGTGGCTGGGCTTTAATTGCTACTTTGATACTGGTCAAAATCCTATGATTAAATAAGAATTTTGTATGTATTTATTTTACTTGAAGACAAAATGTATATAGGTCATGTTTCCTGCAACTTCTGCATTAAATAAGCCTCAGTGTTTGAGCAGGCTTTAAAAAAAATTCTTTTACCAACTTTTCATTTTTGTACCTCTCATCTATGGTCACTTGAATAATCTCTATATATTTTTCTTTAGTAGAATAGAACTAGCATAACACTAAAAGTTAATTTGAGTATTAGGTAGTATACTTGAAACCGTAACACATTTGCCAGGAAGAAATTAAGCTCCCTTGTTGATTGCATCATACCAATACGTACCAAACCTATATGCCAAAGGGTACAGTAAAAGGGAACAAGGCTTTGTTTATCTGTTTTGTCGTAATTTCTCCCTCGTCTATGCTGTCTTTGCTAAATTTTCACTAACCAATAACGCCAAAAAAGTGGATTTTCTAACAATGAGGTAAAAACACTGAAAATGGGATCAAAGAACAGGCTTCAAACTGACCCTTACATAAAAGTAGGGGGAGAGAAAGAGAAAGAAGGAAAGAAAAACAAACCTTGCTATGAAGAGCAATGAGTAAAATATTTTACACTCTATTTTTATCAGTACATAAAGACAAGAAATAAAAATAAAATAAAAATAAAAAATGCCTTCCAACAGTGCAATGGTTGAATGCATTTATGTAATATAAACAACATTATTCTTTGCTTTTTCTACACAGTCCTCTCTGGTCATGCTTTACATCCAGAATGTCCCCATGGAAGAAAGCAAACGACACCAGTCACTTCAGAGACAACTGAAGTAATAAAACACAACTTAACTCTGAACCACTTGTCATGACTGTCAGAGTTATCACGTTAATTGTTAAATAGGATTTTCTACAAATATACAACATATAAAAACTGTTAAATATATAACTTTAGGCTTTTCAAAATACATTTAATGATCTCTTTCAAACAAATGTTACTTTTGTTTTCTCTTTAATTTGCTTTCTGGTGCTAAATGGTGTATCAGATGAGACATAGGCCACAGATGACCAAACATGCTCTTTGCAAATACTGTATTATCCAACTTTAACTATCAAAAATGGAACTGTAGAAGAGGCATGTTTAACTGGTTAAAACTGAAAATGATTTTAGTACGAGAAAGTCAATCTAAGTACAGAGGAATAAAGGTGCTGTGTAGACAGTTTGTGTTCTTTTTGTCCAAGTTTTTCAAACTTAGGTCATTTTCTCTCAGTGCTCCATTATGTTCTCTCGAACGTGGCATTTCAAGAGCAGGTCTCTGAGTTAGTTTTTACTGCAGCTTTCCATAAAGACTTCTGCTGGACAACAACATTTCATCTTTGTGAAAGCTGGAATCACGTGTTTGTGGAGACCTCCTTCAATTTAATGACAGAATTCTGTTAAGAGTAAGATTGTGTCCACTTTAAAATAGATTTTGCTCTTTGGTCTATTGTATATACTGAAAGTATAAGAAAATAAAAGCAATTCAGACAGTTTAGGGCACAAGAAGAGTTTCTCTTTTGCACCTCAGTGTCCTCCCATAGGCAAAACAGTCTTCTCTAAGGCTGATTGGGATGATACTCTTCATTGTAGCAGACTCTTCAGATTGAAACATGTAGGTAACAGCAAGTCCAGCAGTGGTGTATAACGCAGATGAAACGTTAACCATGAACTTGTTTGTATTGCTAATGCCCAAGCATATCTCTTTCTCTATATTCCTTAGTCCAGTGATCCTTAGAATGGTAGAACAAACTTTAGCTCATAATGTAGAGGAATTATGCTGTCACTCATGAGATACAGAGAAACAGACAGTTGAGTTGATGACATATAACGGATGATGATCAACAGCAGTGAAACTTGACTAAGTTAAGTAGCTCACAGAGAGCCTAAACCACTCCTACGAGGATTCTGTGTTGCTGCATTTGTCAGGAGACCTGTAAATCAATAAGAACAAATGAGTGAGTGTCTTAATTTATAATTCTGGTTATCTTTGATGTACATTATTTTAAAATACACTGTACTGAGATTTTTCAAGGAGACAGTTAATGAATTTGAAGATATTTATTTTTCACAGCATTATCCCAGAGAAAAAAACATGAACAAACCTATATTTTATTATTAAAAATTGTACTTTAATAATTATTTATCATAAAACTATGAATATAAATTATAATTTAAAGTAAATTCAATGCCATCTATTTTTTACTAAGTTCCATGCACATTCTTTTTCATAAAAGTCACAGAATGTTCTTTTACACACATTAAAGTTACAAATAACAATGTCTAATACACATGGCAATTAAGATTACTTTTACTTTTTACATATATTTTCTGATGAAAAATGTACATAAAAGCCATGACCAGATATTAAAAATGCAATGATGTTTACAATGGAGGCTTTTCTGCAGTTAAGTTTTCAAAGAGCACTAGAGTGCTTCTAATTTAATCAATACTGCCCTCTAGCGATGCTATTACAAGTGAAAATTAATGTAAATAATGGCCATTAATAGTCAATTTAATCAGAAAATTGGTTTAGTTACACAGAAGAAAAAAAATCATAAGAGAATGGAAATGGGCAAAGAACTGCCCAGTGAACCTGTTGAAAAGACAATGGAATGGAAGCAGTGTTTTGAAAGAGAAACAAAACCAAAGTTCCACTATTAAAGAAATCAAGAGTACTGGAAGACAGCACAAACACAAACAAGAAAATAATGTCTGATTTATACAACAAGGAGCCAGCTACTCATGCTCACCCAAAGTATCAATTTAGAAATGGTTTAAAAATCACACAGATGCTATATAAGACAAAATGTTTTGGGGTGTATAAAGCAAGCATGATTGTTACAAAATGCCGTTTGAATTTTGAAACACAAGATCTTCTGTTTTGGCATTGTTCTGGTTCCAAACAGTCAGAACTGTTATTACTGATGGAAATACCATGCAAAACTCCAGAAAATACTGAACAGTGAATGTGAAAGAGCAAAACAAATAAGAAAATCCAATTCAATTGGTTCAAGCCACGTATTAAATTTTGTGGTTTTAGCCTAACCCTCAGAGCAGCAAATGAAAGAAAAACCTGCCTCCAAATCAACTTAGTGACAGCTTGAAACATATGGATCTCTATATATATGCATGTAGAAAGAGAGAGACAGAGAGAGAGACAGGCAGATAGAGGGATGAATACTTTCCTTATAAGGCATAAAAGTGTATGTCATAGATTTCTGCTTTTGTCCTCTCACCTTTTCCAGGAAAAAACACCCCGGAAATCTTGCAAACAGCCTTTCCTTTTCGGACTAGTGATCAGATCTCCAAACCACATGGCCTCAGACAGGCTGAAGGCAAAAAACCTCGTTGATTATTGTGATATATTCCCCTTCTTAAATATACTTTCATCAAGAGAAATTAATTTAAAGTTTTGCTTCTATTAATTGTTTTGTTTCCACTTTATACCCCTTCTTGGGATTTTTGCTATGCCCCCTACTTTTCTTCCCATTAGAAAAGAACACAACTTTTAAGGTAGTGATACTTTTTAGGCTGCAAGACACAAAGCAAATGATTTATGGTTTATTAGGTCTGAAAGTAATCTACTATTGTGTTAAGAATTAGCCTGACATAGCTCCATCTTTCCTTTATTACAGGCTGCAATGGCCCACAGCTAAAAGCAACAGCGTAAAGTGCTGATGGACTGTGTGTTCAGTGTTTTCATAGTGTGCTTCTCTGCCATACTGGTCCCAGGATGAAGAGAGAATTCAGGTACAACATGCATTCACAGATACCTGCTGCTTTGTCATTTTATGGGTATAAAAGCTTTCTTCCTGACTTGCTATCCCTGTCTCCACTTTGAACACCCCTGCTGCGTGAATATGGTATCAACGCTTTTAAAGAAGAAAAGGAGAGGGGAGAAAATTATGCATTTTAAAAATGCTGAGGAAGGGCAGAGAGCAGGCTTGAAATAAAGTGATGACAGGAAGAGGAACAGATTAGAGAACAGGAGATGAATTTACAGCTTTGGACAGTGACAGTAGAAAATTAAATGAACAGAGAAAAAATGTGTAGGTTAGCCAGGGAAGTTTAAACATCACTTATTAATGAAGGCATGAAAAAGAAGTAAGATAGATAGTAGGAACAACATATAAAAAGAAGAGAGAAGATAAGGGAGAGCATGATGAGTCCAGAGAAGAGGAAGAGAATGCACACCTACCCTCCCACCTCCTGTTTTTTTCCCTTTCACTCCTCAATACAGGTAAATTAATCACTCCCCAGAAAAAGAGACAGATCAAATAAGAGAAAAGAAGGACTCCTAAAAAAACGAAAAGGACTTGTTTACTATTTATAGTAGTAGTTCAAACCATTGATTAGAATCATAGAGTCATTTAAGTTGGAAAATACTTTCAAGATCATTTAATCCAATCCAGCACTGCCATGTCCACCACTAAACCATGTCCCTAAGGACTACATCTACATGTCTTTTAAATACTTCCAGGGATGGTGACTCAATCACTTCCATTGACAGCCTCTTCCAAGGCTTGACAACCTTTTTGGTTCTAGGTATGAATGCACAAGTCTGTTTGTCACTGAGTTCAATGCAGTCAGTATTTCTTCCCAGTGCTTCAGACAGCAGATTCTGCTTCCTTCACAAGGAGCCAGATTTTCTGGCTGTAAGTGTGAGCTTCTTCAACTTTGAGATACTGAGTGGGCATCTAGTACTAAAGATTAAAATACTACTGTTTGTTATCTGACTGTTCACATGATGGAAGCCCAAGCTCCTGTGTGTTCCACAGAAATCTGCTCAAGAGGAAAACAATTTTTCCTGCCAAAAATCCAAAGCATAAGAAACAAGACAATTCATGTGACCATATTGATCTTAGTATTGTTCTTGGATGGCTTGAATATGTCCTGAGAGTGTTTGGCTTATTAGAGCAAATATAACACAGTACACTTTGTCTTACTCTGGAGGGAATAGAATAAGGGTCAGTCTATCTCCAAGTTTGCCCTAATGGCACATAAAATAGTTCATTGGTTCATTCTTATGATCAAAGACAAAGGAAAAAAAAAGTTATGTTAGTCACCTTGAGAAGATAACAATACATGATGCTTTGCTGACTTATTCAGGCTTTCCACCAAAAGACACCAACCCATAAACCTCTGTCTTTCTTTCAGTGTGGTATCTAGGATTGAATTTAATGATAAAATGTTTGAATTTCTCATCACAAACCAGAAAATTGAGCCAGGCTTACGGCAGGTGGCAAATATTTTCAGATTTAGGATTGAGTTTCAAGTATTCCTGGCCTGACCTTTTACTTTAAATGGAATCCACATAAATACCAAGAATTCCATGTCAAATCTTATAAAGCTTTAGCAGTTTCATCTGGTTTTCACTCTGTGTTTTCAGAATAAAAATGAAAGTCAGAGTGCACCAAAGTTGTTATTTTTGCTACAGTAACCAAGTGCACTTACATGACTACCTGTTGCAGTCAGATTGTACTCTGTAATGACAACTCTGAACTATCCAGCACCAATTTGTGGAAATTTTCTGGATACTTACAAAGTATTTGATCATCATAAAGATGTTTCAGTGTTGTCTAACAGCTGAACTACTTGTCTAAACTGTGCATTTTACACTTTCAACTACAGTCTTGAAAATGCTTCTGTGAGTCTTGGGATTTTGTATTGCATCCATCAGTGCAAATGGCTTTCCTTTTGGTTTGGGTTCTTTCTGCACAAAGATAATTCACAGAGATGGATGCAGATTGGGCCAGTCTCTGTCTCACACTCATAATGGAAACAGTTCTAAACCTTTTACCAACTGATTGTAAGTCAGATAAAGAGCATGTCTTTCCCCTCTGCTTCTGAGGCTCTCTGTTCTAGGTCCTTAAACAACTAAGCATGTATGATGCAGAAAGAAAGATGTAAAAGTATTAAAAAGCCCAAGGAAAACCTTACACTCTCTTGCAAGATACCTTATGCTTTACGGAATAAAAATGTGAATTTCTGGTGGTGATCCAAGCAGTAGTAGTGACCTGTTGCATTCATGAGAACTCCCACAGTCCCTCCTGAAAATTTATTCTGTTTTCCTCTCTTCTTCTCCCTTTCTCCGTGCTGTTCATATATTAAAATTGAATTGCTTAGTCTTCATAAAAAAAAAAGGACAAGTTAATCTAACTGCAAAGTGTCTGCAGCTATTCGGAATAAGAAAAAGAAGCATGGAAGCTACTCTACTCAGTGCTGTATTCTGTCTCACTGAGCTAGCCATGGGAAGCACAATTTCAGAGTTCAAACTGTAGTACCTGCAGAACTAGGAATAATAAGATTGGACAAATTTAGTGTCTATGCTTGTGCGTGAAGTCTAATGTATCAGATAGTGTATATACAGGTATATTTTCCTGTGCTGCACTCCAACAAAGTAGCATTCATGAGTTACAGATAGCAGAATTTCATTATTACTCACCTTCTAGGAGAACCTGCCTTTTCTTTTAACAACCACTGTTTGTTTCTTTTAACACCCACTGTTTGTTTCTTTTCACTTCCACTATTCAAGCCAGACATAGAAAGAAGTGTTTATTCTAACTTTGAGACTCTTTGCAAAAGATATTTTTCTCCCAATAATAATTATTTTAATATCAATCTGTCTAGAACAAAACACAAAGAGTGTCATTTCTCCTTAAATAACATTCTTAGTCCTATCTTTTCAACTTCCCCTCACCATCTGCCAGGACTATCATCCTGATCATTAATTTCCTTTTCTGTTAAAATCCTCTTTGTCTGATATTACATTTTTTGAACTTACAAGATCTTGGAATATGCTGGGTCAGAACACACACTCCTTCCTTCTTCTGAATTGCCCATTACTTCATAAGCAATACTAGCACAGGAAGTGGAACTGTTCTTATAATTAGAAAATCCTTACAATGAATGGAAATGTTAAAACCACATCTGAAATGTGGTTTCTAACCCAGCTGAAATACATTTGACCCTGGGTCATGCAGGTATCCCAGGTTTAAGAGCTCAGCCTTAGCCATATATAATAATAAAAGCTTGCTTTGCAGCATCTGAACATACGCTAAGGAAAAGCAACGGAGGTGGCAGAATCACAGACTCATTTACATTGGAAAACACCTATAAGGTCATCAAGTCCAACCTTGTCAACTAGACTGTAACACTAAGTGCCACGTCCAGCCGTTTTTTGAACACCTCTGGGGACGGTGACTCTGCCACCACTCTGGGCAGTGCATTCCGATGAAGATATTCCTTCTGATCACTAACTTGAACCTCATCTGGTGCAGCTTGAGGCTGTGTCCTCTCTTCCTGTTGCTAGTTTCCTGGGAAACTAACCCCCATCTTGCTACAACCTCCTTTCAGGTAGTTGTAAAGAGAGATAAGGTCACCCCTGAGATTCCTTTTCTCCAGGCTAAACAACCCCAGCTCCCTCAGCCACTCCTCAAGAAACTTGTGCTCCAGACCCTTCACCAGCTTCTCTGGACATGCTCCAGCACCTCAATGTCTTTCTTGCAGTGAGGGGCCCAGAACTAAACACAGGATTCAAGGTGTGGCCTCACCAGTGCTGAGTACAGGGGCATGATGACTGCCCTGGTCCTGCTGGCCACACTACTTTTGATAGAAGCCAGAATGCCACTGACCTTCTTGGCCCCCTGAGCACACTGTTGTGTCGTGTTCATACAGCTGTCAACCAGCACCCAGAGGTCAACACTGGTCCAGAAGAGACAGCAGCAAGAGTATTTGTGCTCAGAACATTCAAATCCCTTGGGCACCAAGGTGACCATGGGGGATTTTTGCCTGGAGTAGCATTTAGAGCTGTTGTGGAAAACAGAAGAGCAAGGCAGGTCTCATTCTGCTTCCTGTGAAAGCCTTAAACCAGTTCCTTGAAGCACCATGGGTAGAGAGAGAGAATGATGAAGAGCATTACATAAGACACAACTATGCAAAACAGCTTGTCTTCATCTCTCATGTGCCAGCTAAAAACCAAACACCCTTACAGTAACTCTAGCTAAAGACCCTGAGCAAGTAACCCAATTTTATATGATTTCTTTCTGTTCTTTTAAAATGGTTAGAGGTGTGCACAAATATGAAGGTTGGTAGCAGGTAAAACTAAGAAAGATTTGTAACTGGTGTGGAATTGTAAACTTGAAAAATGACTACTTCTCTGCCTCCCTTTTACTCTTCAGATAAAAAGCAACTGCAATATTAGCATGACTGAAAGTGTCTAAGAATATCCAGGGGCTTTCCTCAGGGTATTATAAAAAAACCCCTGGATTTACCATTCCTGATACTTTTCTCTAAGGTAGGAGATAGCTTCAAATCAAATCATCAATGTATCTAAGAATCTATTTTTGTTTAAATGCAGTAACCTAATGTATACGGAACTCTGAATATTTGTATGTATATACCTATATTCAAAGAATACTCTTTATAGATTAAAAAAGCTTAACAAAGACATAACCTTTATTACATTAAACCTTCTTGTGACTTAAATATTTCTGTGTGCTAATAAATCTATTAAATACAATGATCTTCCATAACATAATGCTTGTATTGCCACAAGAAAAGAGCATTTCATGAAAAGGGTGATATGACTTTTAATTTTAAAGTTTAAAAAGCAATCCTAATAGTTAAAGTTTACTGGTCTACTTAATGGAAAAAAGAAAAAAAGTCTAAAAAGCTAGTATTAAGTCCACATACAAATATAAAGTATTACTTTTCCTTTTCTAATTAAAGGAGAAGGCTGTTCAGGGACATCTGTGAGTGATATCTGACTGACAGGCAGCTGGGCTAGAGAAAGGTTAGGCTCACACTCACAGTAAAAACTGGAACAGAGTTTTACTAAGACTGATTGTAAAAATAGTTAAATGAATAATACATCAAAAAGGCAACATGCTTTTAGATGGAATATTTACAGTATTTCATCCATTAAAAGAGCTAATTCTGACTTAAAAAGTGTGAGCTTTAAATCAAAAGTTCAAATGCTAGTGAAGGAACTGCATAGTCAGTGTTCACCAGTGAGGTACAGTGTCTAGTTTATGTATTCCACCTAACAATTTATTGCTTAAGAAAGCAGTCATGTTTTGCATCATTCCAGAAACCAATGTAGCACTGTAGATGACTTCTATCATGCAATATCTTTATAAATATGTTGTATTTGTACTCTGCTTAGTCTTTGTCTAGTACTTAAGGAGAAAGCAGTAAGTGGACAACTGTGGGGAATGAGAGTAGAGGAGGAATATATGTGTGTATATATATATATATACACACACATGCATATATATAATTCAGATAAGAATAATG